TGCCTTGCTCTGTGTGTCTCATCTCCCCTCACATGGGAGTTCAGAGAGGTCTCTCAGAGGCCAGAATGGGAGGCTGCTTTTGCTGGGAGGCTCAGGTTGCTCCCATCCTGATGTCACACATTCTGACATCAGTTTCTCCACTGATTGGGATTCTAGTTCTATTTCCCTAGGCACCAGGAGAAGCGAAGGGAGCCTTTGAAAATGTCTCTGGCTCCATTTCTTCCCTGCTCAATGTTCACTGCTTTGCATTCACCTTGTCACTGAGCCCAGTGACACTCCTGTGGTGTACCTCTTAGCCACTCAGCAACTTTTTTCCCTTTTATGATATTTTGGGTTTCTGATTGCCTGCCAAGTGAAACCTTGATCATTTAACAAGAAGCAAAAAAGAGAAAAAAATCCCTCCAAGTCAGTCCCAGTCCAAATAGTCCCTATTTCCTGTCTTGTCTCTCCTAGGCCAGCTCTGGATGCAGGACCAGTGCCGAGGGGACCTACCCACCTACAGGCAGTGTCACTTCTATTTGTGCTCATCAGGGTTCTGTGCAGATGCAGCTGTGAGAAGCACAAGGAGGAAGGAGGGCACAGCACTGTGTCCAGGGGCTTTTTGTGATAAGGTATTAATATCAGGGCAGAAGCAGGGGACTTGCGGTGTGATTTTGACTCAGAGAGATCAGAAATTGGATTGGGGCACAGGGAGTGGAAAAGCTTTCTGACCTATGCCCGGTGCAGCAGGACTCTGACATGCAATCTGTTTTCTTCATCACGGTCCTCCGGAGCCTGGAACGTAGTACATGCTCAGTAAATATTCATGGGCCCAGATGAATAAATCTAATTACACTCCTCCTTCAAACAGGAAAAGGTTTGATTATTTAGAGGTGTTGTCGGGGGCAATAATGAGCTCATTGGAGCCACCTGATTCTCCTCCCTCTAATGCTTCCTTTCTTTAGACATGCAACTGGAGCCCAGGGCTGGGGGGAGGCGCTGGGTGAATGGTTGAGCAGAGAAGTTTTGATGGTCATCATGTCCACTGTGGGATCTGCTGGGGCTTACGAATCTATTTTGGGCCCTTCCACAGATGCCAAATTGTGTCACCACAGGGGCCTTTGACTTTTCCCACTCTTAGCTAGGACTGGACAAGACTGGAACAGCTCTTGATGGAAGTGATGTGCTGGACTCCAGGGCCATTTTAGCCTTCTGCTCACTTCCATCTTTCTCTGCAAGAAACTTCTGTGGAACTGCTAGAGGACCTGCAACCCTTCCTGCTCCTCAGCTGAGACCATTCTTGGACCTTGTGTTTGCCCGGACCAGAGCACAGTCCTTGAAGAATGGGCACCTGGCCAGTGGGTTAGGGGTATAGGCCTGCAGGGAAAGATGGTGTTCTGACCCTCCTTTACCATAAGGGAACTGAGATGAGAAAAGCCTCCACAGAACTGGTTCCAGGGATCAAGGCCCTCCTCCCTTCTTGCCCTTTTCCCTAAACCTGCTCCTTTCACACTGCAGGACCTCTCCTTTTGAAAACCCCACATTGGCCCCCAGGAAAGGGTCCAACATTTCACATACAGAAGTCTGTGATCAGCAGAACTGAAGCTGACTAAGGAAGACTGAACCTGCATTTTTCCAGTGTTCAAGGATCAGAAGCCAAAGGAGTGCTCTTTAGAGATGGTATTTCAGGGCATCACTGTGCATGTGCCTGGATGATCTCACAATTGTGAATCCCTTGAGGGGCTAAGGACTTGGCAACTTGTGCCCCGAAGGGATGCAATCCAGGGCCAGGGGATGGTCCAGTCTTGGGGTAGTAAGGCTGGCAGGTTTCCCCTTGGCTGGTTACCAGTCTATGGCTGACACTTTTCCATCAAATTTAGCAACATTCCCTCAACCCCCAAGAAGTGAGGGATTGCAGCCACATTCTTGCTCCTCTTCTTTCTAACGGTATAAGACAGGGAAAATTAACAGGGAACTGCAGTCTGGTATGTCAGAGTGTTTAGTCCAATGCTGGGCATACAGCAGAGTTCTCCTGTCAGTTGATGGTGCCTCTGTGGCCTTGGTTCTTGGCAGAACCTAAGGGAGAGAAGCTAGAGCTGGAGAATGTGTTCATTCCCAACTATAGGGGGCCTATCAGGAAAGTTCTCTCTAACTTAGGTAATTTTCCTGGTAAAAGAAGCTAAAAACAAAAAGTTGCTGCAGTAAAATTGTGCTAAGCTAGAGAGTGGACCGCTACCCCTGCCCCCACCTTCCCAGTATTGTCCCCTCCTGAACACACCTAGGGGAGACTGGGGGAAGGGAGAGGAGTCTGTGCTGCCCAGCGCCTTCCTGCCCCCAGGAAAAGTCCAGGCTCTCTTAGGGGCCGCTCAGGCAGCCGATCAATACAGGCTGTGGAGCTGCTGAGCTATTATTCACGCCAAAGGGCCTCGTTTGGATGAAGGGAAGGAGGGGTGCACAAGTTCACAGAATCACACTCTGGGTTTCTGCTTCTTGACATTTCCTCCCTTGCTAGGATGACTTGGTTGTTTATGTAGTACAAGAAAAGAGGCAATTCAGAAGAGGAAATGCTTTCCCACTGTATGCTGGCAGCCTGTGACTTGGGCCAGGGTCCCTGTTGTCCCTTTCTTGGGGTCCTCTTGAAGAAGGACAGTGCTGGGCTCAAGGTGCTACAAGGTGAGGTCTGCTTTCCTGGGTCTCTCGCTCTCAGTTCTTCCCTGTGATGAGCTCATCTGCTACTTTCTGGTGCTGTGGACTCCTTTGTCTTTTATCTGAACACCATCTGGTCCTCACCTCCTCACACATTCCCAGCCCACTTGTTACCATTTTAGTTTTTTTTACTTGTGCTGGTAAGCTGGCTGTGATCTGGAATCCCAAGAGAGAGAGGGTAGCCCCTCAGCACAGTGTCTCTATCTCACAGTAGTGGCGATGCTTCATCATCCACTCCAGAATGCCTTGGCTCCAATCACACTTCTGTCCTGCCTATGCTTGGTTGCACCTGCCTACCCTTCAATATCACCCTTCTTGGTTGCAGTGCCTGTGCCTTTAAAATCTTTTCTGAGCTGTCTACAGTCACCTATGCCATTTAAAACTGGCTGACATCTCAGAACCACCTGACTGATCACATTTGTTTACAGCTTCTGGCAGATGCCACCAGTCTGAGCCTGAGGGACCACAGGCAAAGTAAAGGCACATAAACAAGAATATTTCTTGGGGTCAGGTTCAAAGTTAGTGAATTACTGCTGAGGTGTGGATGTCTCCCAAGGAAGGTGGATGGTCATGTAGCAATTCTGGACTAGAATGACATGGAGCCTTCCAAATCCTGGCACATTCACCATTCCTATGTTTGTAGTGATCATTGAGACCTGAAACCAGGCTTTACCTGGCTTTGCCTACTGGACCGGCCCATGGCTCCTTCAGGATCTCTGTCCTTGGGTAGATGATGCTGAGAGCTGCTTCACCGAGTAAGAAATGCACCTCATCTCTTCCCCTCACAACTATGGTAAAGCTACCTAAGAGGTCTGGCCCTTTGGGGATGGAGGGTGGGATTAGAAAGATGATCAAATAAAGGTTCCCCCAGTTCCCTGCTCCTCGCCAAAACACCCCAGCCCTGAAGTGCCATGAATTAGGCTTCTGAGAATGGCTTCCATGGTTACATAAACTACCTCAACAAACCAGAGAGCAGGTACAGCCAGCACATATAGCATGAGGAATGTCACTGACTTCTGACAGGATGAACATGGGGTTTTGCTTCTCTGGCCCTTCAAGCTCACAGCCCATGGAAAAGCTGATCAATTCACCAATGGCAAGTCATAGAAAGTGAAAAAGGGCAAAAGGTCAGTCCCTGCTCAACACTGCTCCAGTGGCCCGGCAGGGAAGCCCTGTTTGTAGACTCCACAGAGGTGCCTCAGATACCTACGACACCAACCACCTGAATACACACAGGTCTCTCTTTAAGACATCCCTGCTTACTCTCACTGCAGACCACAAACCTTCCAACCACACACTCAGCTGAAGGGGAAGGCAAGTGGCCGGCGGACTGGGGACTCACAGCAGCTCCTTTGAAACCAGTGCCGGCCACAACGAACTAACAATCGTTGGCCCTGGATTCCTCTCCCAACACACAATTTCTCCCAGGAAAGCCATCCATACCCAGTGAAGAGCACCCCACGAGGCTGGTAGTTCAAACCAAAGTGATGAGGAGATAATCACTCATAGTTAATTCTCAACTACGTAGACAAACTGCTATAAATATTTATGATGGGAAATTTCACTATTTAAAAATTCTGCTCTAAATTTCCAGCTAACTCCATGAAGAATGCCTGCTGAACAGGTTGCAAATTAAGAACAATTATTTTTCCTCTTCTTCATTTAAATATAACTTACAGCTAAAGTCATTTAAAGGGGTTACCATCAACCTTAATTAAATATTAAAGTGTGCCTGTACCTGCTGCTATTGTTGCCCCTTCGAATAAGATATAACCTATTTTTGACAAGTTTTCATCTTTCTCTGTGGAAGGCACTACATGAAACCAAATCAGTGGCAAAGAGGAGAGTAATGAATAATCTATTTCACATTCCAGGAGCACCCAGAGCTCGGGTAGGAAAATATTCAGCCGGATGATGGCAAGAGGCTGCTGAGGAACCACATGACACAGCTAATGTTTAAATAATAATAATAAAAAAAAGCGATAAACAAATCATTAGCCCTTAACAGTTGTTTAATGCAATTTGTTAATGAACGTAATGCTGGGGACTAATAATGAAAGAAAATAAAAATGTCTAAACAGGCGCCAAGTTGCTGGCGATGCGCAATTATTTCCTTGTCAAGTTTTTATGATTTAATGAGCCCCTCTGGGACTGACGGCTGTCAGTCAGTCGTGACTTTTTGACACCATTACAACTTCAAATACAGCAGCAGGCAGGCTGTTTTCCTCGGATTTGAAATACTGAAATGATCTGACAGTTTTAAAGAAAAGATGTGCAAAAAAAAAAAAAAAAAGGAGAAAGAGAGGAGGAAGACAGTGGCTTTTCCTTTCTTTCTTTCCCTCCCCTCCCTTCTTCTACGGGTTGATAATCTCTGGATGCTGTTTGGTAATGAAAACCCAATCACTGAGGTCATTATCTGATGAGGTTTTTGGAACAGGCAGGCTTTATTCCCCTCTTTCTTTCTTTACTTAATGATAACCCTCAATGGGCCTGCCCCGCATGGGACAGCCAGAGCTGCACAATTTTGTTCGCCATTAATTTCAGCCTTTGAAGCTCAGGCTCAGAAGCAGTAGCAAAGCAAACCCCCCACCAAGCTGGTTCCAAAATAAGACAATCCAGCCTGCCTGAAACAGAATAGCAAATGGCCTCCCAGCTCAGGCCTGGCAGCTGACGTCAGGCCCACTGCATCTGCAGCCATTCGCCTTCAACATGGAGCATTTAAAACTCTTTACAACTTAAGAGACTTTAATTGAATTGCTTTTGATTCTGGGGCAGGGTACCATCCACTTTATTTATTCTGTCAGGGAAACTGTTTAGTCTGCATGAATTTTGTATGTGGAAGGCTTCCTTTTCTTTTTTTTCCCACATCTTCATCTTCGTGTCCCCCCTGCCCCCACTTTACAGCAAACATCTTCTTAAACAAAGCTTCTCAACTTTATGAATATTCAACCAAAGTCTACATCTTAAGTACCTAGAACCTTCCACAGATCCATGGCCCATTTCAAATTCATGGACCTTCTCCTTCCCAAGCAGAGCAGAGAAAGAGGGCAAACACTTGGCTTTCCCTGGGGTTCCACAGAGTTCCTCCCACAGCAACCAGGAGACCTTCAGATCAGTTTCCTCCCCAGTAACTCCTTGGCTTGGTCTAGGACGTCTTTCTCGAGGGAATGTGATGGCCCTGTGAGGCCAATGGTTGTCTGTTCCCATTCTTTCCACTCCTGGGGTTGAACTGGGGCAAAATTGCAGTCAAAAGCTGATAAAGAAATAGAACTCAGCAGAAAAAGTCATTGCAAGGTGAGTAACGAACGCACTCCTTTCTCATTTCTTTGGCTTTCAGTGTGAACACAAGGTTTTAGTGAAATATTTAGGAGCCAGCAAGTGCAGGTGATCAGATCAACCTTGCCTGCTAGGTGGCCTTGGGAAGACCGCTGAGTGGTAGATGGGAGGCAGGTGGGAATGACAGCTCAGCACTCAGTCATACATTCAACTACGATCAACATTTGGGAAGGAAGCCTCCAGAGTGGTTGGCACACTTCAGGACTATCCCATGTTTCAGATGGAGAAGGGGCTATTTGTTTGTTTCTTTCCTCACTTTTTAATGGTTTCTTTCCTGTGTTTAGCAAATCCAGATTCTTGCTGAGATGGGTCCCTTCTGCTGAGAGGAAAATTAGCACAGTTTCCTGCTCCTTCCCCGTCCTATTTCACTCGGCTAGAATCCCAACCTTCCCTCTCACATAAAGGCTGCAGCTTTATTTACACAATACTAAATGATTTATCTGAACACATGCAGACCCTGGCTTGTTTTGCTAAGTATGATTTCTCTGGTGGATTTTGCATTCTGCATTTCCTCTCTACACCATAATGGTCCTCTTCCGAGTTGGGGAAAAAATCGAGTGCTGGGTTCGCATGATCCACGAGCACAAATGGTTAGCATATTTTATGAAGAGAACAGGTTTGCTTTTCAAGAGTTCAAAGCTTCTAACTATATTCAAAAGATAGTAGGAACTCGTAAGTGCCTATGAAGTCTTAAGAAAAACACATTTTGCTTTATGACTAGTGGGAAAATGACCTCAGCTTGGGCAACTTTTAAGCCCAATCACAAATGAGCTCATTTTGAACACAATTCCTGGGTACCTCAGACAGAAAGAAAGGAAAGCAAATCACAACGCATGTTAGAGGGTTGAATACACAGTGAATTCAGGAAAGCTTTGCGAACATTTGTTAGGAAAAAACCCAAGTTGTCCTTTTGTAACTCTCTGCAATCCCTTATTCTTTGAAAGGTTGTTAGTGGACATTTTCCAGAAAGTTTATTTCTCATGGACGTCCTATAGAACTCCCATATTTATAAGCACACTGGAAATTTCACACTGATAGAGTCATGCTTGCTCTTTCTGACATATTCATGTTATCTTTACATACTGGGATGGATGTGCAGAGAACCTTGTCAGACCTCTTGCATGTATAAGGGCTGCCTTTGGCAGAGCAAATATTCAAAACAAAAGGATACAGAGAGGCTTACATAGGTCAGGGATACAGAGAGGTCACAATTAAATACTGTGCCAGAGCTCACATCACCAGAAAATTCTGAGGAGCACGGGATTTTTGGAAAGGCATGGAAATATTTCTTGCAGCCAGTAACCAACATTGTGAAAAGTAGATATTGAGCAGGATCAGCACAAATATCTTGGGTTAAAAAAATTATGCAATAGAAAAACATGGAAAGTGCTAAGTCAATTTCCTGTACAAGTGACATTAAATACCTTTCTTTGTAATAAAAGCACTTGTGCAGGCTGACTATATTCATTGGGCCTGGGAGGGACAGGGCTGGCCTGCCGGAGCTGGTCACTGGCTCTAGTCCCTGATTTTCTTTGCATTTTTATACTCAGACATGATAAAAGGACATGTTGGCAATGAGAGGTATGTGAAAAACAGAAGCTCCTGTGACTGACTCATCATTCTCTTTCCTATTCCCTGACCCCTGACATGTCCACAGGGCAAGAAAGAATGTCACCAAGGCTATTTTGGACAGTAGATGAAATTACCAAAAGGCAAACAAACATTTACCTTTGTCTATAAAAAACAAATCTGGGTGAAGACCAACCTAGAAAAGGAAACCAACCCACATGCAAACAGGAATAGAAAATATTTTTACACTCTTTGCACTTCAGCTAAACAGTGGGGAAGGAGAAGGTGGGTCACCCAAGGGCCTGTCAGCGCAAAAGAATGATTCATGTGACCATTTTGTCTTAATTACTCAGAACAAGCCGTGGTTGTTGTTTATCAAGGGAGAGCAGATACATCAGTGTTTTCTGACAAAAAAAGTGATCGCCGTCAGGATGGTGATGACCACGATGATCCCCAAGATGACGAGCAGGATGCGGTTCTGGATGATTCTGAGAGAGAAAAAAGAGAAACACTTACATAGATAAATGGAGGTGGGTTCTGACAAAGATCATCCAAGGCCAACTTGGCTAATGAAACCACAGTCGTGTAAGGTGGGGTGGGAGCTTGCCTCTGTGTGCGTGTGTGTGTGTGCGTGTGTGTGTGTGTGTGTGATCACACAGCTTTTGGCTATAGGAACAACTCCATAGTGCTGTCACATTGCACTCACAGGCACGCTTCCTGCAAAGCTGCATGAATCAATGGCTTTCCAGGCTCTGAGTACCATGTAGTCTCTTTAAGTGATCAAGGGCCCCATGTGAGCTTCTCTTTTTAATTTAAAATGTGAGACAAGCCTCATTTTTTTGCGGTGTTTCCTGTAAAAGGAAAGACTCCAAGGAAACATGTCAGTAAGGTACTTACCTGAACAAAAATACCCGGGGAAAAGTAAAAGAGAGATTTAGCAAGAAAAGGGCAGGATTAAGTAGCAAGTGTCAAACTTGCAGCCTTGGCTGTGAAACCGTCACCTGTCACTATGGTTCACGCTCTGTCACACCAGGAGGAAACATTACATTTGCTCCATAGTGTGACAAGATGGAAACGAGAAATGATACAAAGTCTTCAAGGTGCCTGGCATGCATTGGTGGGTGGGCCTGCACCTCCAGGGATCCTCACCCCTTGGTCCGGCCCTGCTGAAGGCAACCTCAGAAGGAGAAGCAGAGACATGCGCTCCCGGATGCCTGCAGAGAGCTTCCGAGGAAGTTGTTTCATAATTTGTTACCTCATTCGGAGAAAAGAGGTCACGCATCAGAATGCTTTGTTGAAACTTTCAAAGGGAACCTAAGTCACACAGCCTCGCCCACGTTTGCTCCCTCTAGCTGAGCACACAGAAATAGAAACCCAGAGTGACTGGCTGTCTCGCCAGCTGCCCACCTGGTTTAAAGCCCCATGGCAACCCCATCCCACCATCCTGACAAAAAAAGTGATCACATCAGGATGATGACTGAGACTATCCCGAGGATGATTCTGCAGGTACAGGTGGAAGAAGTGCCTGATTGTGGACATGGGACTCTGGACATGGATCTTCCACGGGGAGGAGCCAGGTGGGACAAAGCCAGGCCTCCAATTGAACAGGGACCTGCTCCTGCCTTGTATCTTCACACAGAAACCTTCGCAGGTGTTTGCAGCCTTTTCTAGCATCTGGATGTCTGTTTCTGGAAGTATGACATCAGGCTGTGTTTTCAGCCGGAGTCTTCCTCATCCACCCTCTTTCCTCACACCTACACGGATGGATGGAAGCGGTTATATCAGAGCAACCCACTCCCCTGTGGCCCCTAACAGGACCAACTCCCTCTCCTCCTGACAGGTTACAAAATGATCACATTTGCTGACAGGTCTTCCGCAAAACTGCTTTAGTGCCCGTGTGCACTTTCCTCGCAGGAGATGAATGGTCCGCTTGGTCCTCATTTATCACTCGAGGCTGGGCTAAGATCTGTCTCGTTTATTTCTTGCCTTCCCCACTGGAAAGTCTGCACCCTGACATTAATTCTGTGATGACAGAAGAGGCAGGAAGATTCTCTGTTCCCCAAATAAATTAATAAAAACAGGACTTTGCAGCCTATTAAAGTGAGGCTAATTGTGAACACTGAATGATGCTACTTCGTGACTCCAATTAAAACTCAAATTGATGTTTCCCCTTTTCTGCAGAAGGACAGAAGTCTTCAGGACACTCCATATACATCCCACTTGCCCAAGGTACTGTCAAAATCTCTGTTTACCACAGATCTTTTGCAACTCTGACCCATCTCAGAGTTGCAAAGGTATTAGCCAAATTGAAACTCAGCAGTGAAACAGATTAAAAGCATGAAAATACTTTTTAAATGCTGCCTTAAGTAATCTATGGCAGTGTGTCTCTTGTGTAGTTAGGCGACAACAATTTTATTTGTGGATTGAGGGCCCCAAGGCATCCAGGATGCTAATGTATGAAGCATTAACTGTTAGTTGGAAAAATGAATGCACAAGAATCCCTAAACCTTTTGCTCTTCCTGGCCTGCCTACTTAGTCTTCCCCATTCTCAGTGTCTCCAGAGCCTGCTGGCTTTCACCATCCCTCTGCTGTCACCACCCCTTTGCCACTTCAAGTGGCCTACCTGTGGGGACCACACAGAATTCACCTAAAAAGTCTCAGACACCACACAGTGGCTGGCACTCAGAAGGTCTAAAGAATGACAGTGAAATCACAGGCCCTGGCAACTGTGGCCATTTCTTTCAAGGGAGAATGGAGAAGAAATCTGGGCAAATTCAGTTAATGGGAAAATGTCAGGGGGTCTGTGTAGAGAAGGCTGAAGGTAAAAGTTGAAACCAGTCCCCAAAGATGATGCCTTCTCAGAGCACACTGTGTCTTCTCCCTGAAACTGGGAGGTGTGTGCTGGCAGAAGGCATAAGTGGGAAGGGGCGTTTGCTTCCAAACCAAATGCTGCCAGATATTTGGGACAAAGGGAACAGAGGCAGAAAGAGTTGGAACAGAGGATTGTAAGTGAGCTTGACTGGCCTAGCCATCAACCTAACTTTGGACCTAAAAGGAGGTGGCTAAGCAGTCTCTCTAAGGACCAGAAAAGTTAGTAGTCATTAGGGCACTTTAGTAGACAGGGCTGAGTCAGTTGGGAGGGGGGAAACAAAGGCTGGCAGCAGCTGGTCCCATCTGTGAAGAAGCCTAGAGCAGTCACAGCCAGTTACTCTGGGCAAAGCAGAAAGGAATGGAGGGAAGGAAAGAGAATCAGAAAAACAAGCCAGGCCAAGAGGCTCCAGTGTGCAAGCTGGAGAAGGAAGTTTGGGGGCAGCCCAAAGTACCTTGCTCCTAACTCTGGGCAAGGGGCCTCGATGTTCAGCTAGGTCTGCAGCAAGCAGTCTTAATCTCCCTTTTGAAAATGCAAAGTGTGTTTACCCAGTAAATAATTTAAGAAAGAGTACACACTTGAAAGAAGACATCCATTGAAACAGCCAGGCTAAATTGCCTCCAGGCAGAAACTTGTGCATTTGCATGCTGCATTCTATTAAGTGAGCACACTGTGGCTTTAAAAGAATGCAGAGCCAAATTAAAAGGAATGCGGGCCTGAAACATCAAAAATTCTCCAAGTTTACATTATGAATCACAGTGCTGTTGATATAAGATGAATTAACCATTTACTTTGAGGCTGAACTCACAAAGTACTATTGAAAATACTGATCCCTGTGTGGAACCCAGGGAGCGGTTAATCTCCCCATTGCCCGGCTCCTCCCCTTCTGGAAACAAGCTCCTGTGTGTGGCAGCTGGAATCACAGAAGTGCTGGTTCAAGCGAAGGAGGCAGAGCGAAGGAGGCAGGCGGCTACCTGATGCAGTTCTCTGCTTCTGCTAGAGGAACGTGGGGATTCCACTGCTGTAGGGCTCCCTGCGGCCCTCAAAACCCAGTTTTCCTCTACTTCCAGCGCACACTGAAGTGACTGGGCCCTGGTGGCTAGAGTGGCCAGGGGACTTGCTATGGTCAATGAAATGTGGGCAAAAGTGCAGGGTGTCATTTGCTGGTGGAATGACCTGCAGTGCTTGACTGACCTGCTAGCTCTTCCCTGCTGTTCTGATTTAGAGGGCTGGCCTGCTCTGGAGAGTGCAGTTACAGGCTGTTTGGAGATTCCTGACCAGGTGCCCGGTTGTCTCCTGGAGGAATTGCCTTGGGACTTAATCTAGATTCACAGTGGATTTGTATTGAGTCAATGAGATTTGGGGGCTGTTTGTTACCACAGCATGACATGACATAAACTATCCTGAGTGCTACACTACTATCCCTCCTCAGACAAGGCGACATGTCTAACCAAGCCAAGGGAGACTCTCAGTTCATGTATCCCAGAAGCTAAGGAATGATGAGGGCCAATACTTTTGTTTTTTGATGAATCAAAAGTTTTTCTATCCACTTTGTCATAATGCATCTCACCGAACAATCAGGAGTTTCTTCCAGCTGGGACCAATACCATTGTGTGCTGCTGAGTGATGATGTTCACATGAGGTCTCAGCAAGCCTAGCCAGGCACTCTGCTTCCTGAGTACAGTGATACCATGTTGGCTGCATTCACCTCTCCATTCCAAGTTTCTAACACCAGCCTTGACTCCAGGAGTAGTTAGACAGTGTACTCCAAGCCCCTGGCCTCAATGATTGGACCATGATTGTGACTCATGCCAATCCAACAGATGGAATCTCTACTTTTGCTGGTGATGCTGGGTCCTCTGGACAATTTGGCAGGTGAATGTTAAGACCCAGCTCTGCTGCAGCTATTTTATTTCCCGAGGAAAATCAGCCAAGGAAAGAAGCTGACTCATGGAGAGCAGAGAAATGGAACCCTATCCCTGAAGACAAGGCGAACTTCTGTAGTAAGCCACCCTTCCTTTGAACTTTGACTCACAGGAGAAAATAAATTAACTTCATTTCTCAAGACTGATGTGGTTCTTCTATTATTTGTGACCAAAAAGCACTTTTAGGTTGAGTCACCCTGATTCCTAAATCCAGTCTTTGATCTATGGCATACTTTCTCCACCTCATTCAAGAAGAACTTCCAGACCCTGCCCCGCTCTCATTCTCCTATTTTGCTGTGCAGCTCACGTATCACTATGCTAACCACCTGGGTTTATGATTTTCTGTTTCTGTGAAGTTTTCTCCAGTAAAAAGTAGACTTTCTTCAGTCTGAACCTCCTTTGTCTTTTTTTCTTTTTTTATCTCTGGAGCCTGACACAGAGTTTGGCATAGATATATTAAAAAAAATGCTTATGCAGGTGCAGTGAGGCTGAGGTGGGAGATTATTTTGAGTCTAGGAGACTGAGGACAGCTTGGGCAGCATAGTGAAGACCCTGGCTCACAAAGGCTTCTGCACACCAAAGAGGGCAATTACCAGAATCAAAAGAAAACCTACAGAATGGGAGAAAATCTTTGCCAATTACTCATCAGATAAAGGATTAATATCCAGAATATGTAAAGAGCTCCAAACATTAA